TGATCCCCTGTCGGGGTTTTTGTGACCCCAGCATTCATTCCTGCCTGTGACAGGGGGTCAGGCTAGATGATCTCTTCAGGTCCCTCCTGACCCTAGCTACTATGAAACTATGAGTTTAGTTTCATTTCGAAAGCACTGTTCCGTTTTGTTTTGTCAAAAGTTTCGAAGTTTCGATGCTGTTTCAACATTTTGCTGCTTTGAAACTCAAAACGTTTTGAAACTTTCAAAACGTTTCGACTGGCCTCGTTTAGTTTCGAGGCTGTTTCGAAGCCTTCTGTTTCATTTCAATTTCACTGTTTCGAGCTCAAAACGAGTCGAAACAGCGTCAAAATGAAACAGCTGGCAAAATTTCACATAGCTCTACAGTGTAGTAAGCGTCTCTAAACAGCTATGCACTAGTTAGTTAGTTAACCAAATACTAAACTTAATGCACAATAACTACCGTGCATTAATGAACCTGTAGACATGCACACTGTGCCCTATTCCAATGTGATATGAAACAGGGGAACAGATTTAATGAGTTTTGAAAAACTGCTGGATTGTCAAGGAAATTCTAATGTTAACTGAAATGTTTTTGAAGTATTGCTTCAGGGTTTCTGTGAGCAGGCTGTGTTCCTGTTCAGTTTCAGTTTGGTGCTGGAAGGGTCAAAAAACCTCTCCCTCTTTGTGGGGTAATGAATTAATAAGAAACCTCAAAGTCTCTCTTTTCTCACATTTGGCTGTTCTTAGAGCTACTGGGAGTGTCTACACAAGACACTTACTGCACATTAACCTAATAAAACTGTGCAGTAGTGTGGCTGTTAAAAACCATGCTAATAGCCTACTGCACAATATTATTAGGCTGATGCACAGTGCCATAAAATAACTCTACAATGGCACTGCTGCGTAATAACTCTAGTTACTGTGCATTTAGTTAGTGTTTATTAAGCAAGTACTAAACAAAATGTGCAGTATCTAAGGCGCATTAATGAACGAATAGATGTGCCCACTGAAGGCATTAATGTCTAACCTTGAATCCTCTGAAAACTGCAAACTTTCAGCTATTTCAGTGCAGTTAATGAACTACTCTTTCCTCCAGTGAGTCAGCAAAGCCACCACTTACTAAGAGAAAAACCTGGCTGCCTACCCAGATTAGCCTATCCTATTTGTCATTTAAAATGTCCTTTGAGAAATTCATGAATGTCTCTGTATATTTAATAGGGCTTTCTAATGGTTATTATCTTGGCTAATTACTTCATTAATACATTCCTCTGTTTGTTATCTTGTTACTAGGCACATCTGTGATTGACTGGCTGGTATCAAGCAACTCGATCCGAAATCGTAAAGAGGGTCTCATGCTGGCCTCTTCCCTGTTAAATGAAGGCTACCTGCACCCTGCTGGGGACACTTCCAAAGCTGCTGCTGAAGGATTGTCAGACACTCCCTTTCTGGATCTTCCTGATGCCTATTATTACTTTGTAAGTGTGGTGTGCTGTTCTTCTGTCTTCTGAAGTGCTTGAACTTTGACTTCCTGCTTTCTGGTCTCACAGAAGGTTTTTCAAGTCCTAGAATAGGGATTGTGTAGACATGAAATTCCACATTCAGTGTCTCTCCAAGGCTCCTGAAACACAATACAATTATGGCATGATAAATGTGTTAATCACACCATAAATAACAATGGTGCTACATGTTCAGGTGATATATAGCACCATAAAGTGGCAAACCAGCCACAATATGTGGAACATCTTTGTGGCTTATACGCATGGCACCATAAATTGAATGTGTAGTACTCTTATGCTGATGCTGGCATGGGGACTGGCATCAGAACTGGAGCCCTGGTCCCACTGCCAAAAAATGGCCTGCTGTGGGAGAGGGTTGCAAGATTCCTTTGTTGGGAGAACCACAAGAACTGCAGAGCAAGGCTCTTTAAAATTCCATGTTGTCAGGATGTTTAGATGCTGTGGGGCATGGAGACCCCAGGATGGGGGAGAAGCATATTGATTCTGGAGTCCCTGGGCTTTAAAAACTGTGTGTGCAGCGGAATTGTACCAGGGCTGGGCTGGCAATCAGCTGATTGTTAAACATGTCCCAGACAGTCCCAGGTCTTCAACTGGTCCCAGACAATCTGGGGTCTCCAATTGGACCTGGGGCTTTTGAGGCCTGGTGCAACAACCAGCATTGGACAGCCATGGTTCTGGAACCAGCGGGGGACATCTCTGGGTCTGGGACAGAACTGCTTGATCCACACGATCTGGCTGGGGGCAGCTCCACAGTGATGCAGTAGGAATGTTTTGCCCCATTCCAACCACTGTGCATCTTGCTATGCACATCTGGAATGGAGCAAAACATTCCTCCAGTCTCAATCATGCCACTGCTTTAACATACTTTAGGGGCCTAAGTGACTTTCAAAAGGGACTGGCATAGGTTAAAGTTTTAAAAAGGACCCAACTCTGTAAGCTTGCCCTGTGATCTGACTACTACATCAGGAAATTAGCAGTACTGCTGATACTGGAAGTCACGAGTCATCAACTAAACAGTGAGCTGAGCAGTTCACTGAAGGTGGCTAGGCTTGTTCTGCAGTTCTTGTTGGAAAGAAGTGTTCGAAACCATTCTTTTTCTATTTTTTGGTCAGGGAAGGCTGAGATGTGATGTAGCACACAAGTGGAGTAGGTCACCCCAAACCATTCCCAGACAAAGGAAAGCTGCTTTCTTTAACATTTTGTTTTGTTCCTGCCTGATATAGTTCAGACTATTAGTCAGATAAGTAACCAGTGTTTTACAGGAGGAATTCATGATTATGCTTCAAGACTGCAGTTACATAAAGAACATGAAAATATCACTCACAGAGTTAAAATACTATTTAAAGATGTTAGACTTATGCAGTGGCATTTATTCAATTAAATAATTAAACTTTTAAAAATAATTTCTTATTACACTGAATATATCTATTGGGGACAGCTGGACTTCAATATGATTTTTGGTATGAGTAAGCAGTGCAGATTTGACTCCTTTATTTATATTCATAAAACACCTGTGAGGGAGGGAGGTTGTACTTCTGGTGAAATTAAAGCAGAGAACTTGTGCCTTGCCTTTAGCAAGATTAGCAATCATATTCCTTCTTCCTAGAGCATGGTGCTCTGCTCTGTTCCAGCTTTGTACTAGTTCTAATGCATGCCATAATTGCATCAAGAAAGCATGAAGAAAGTGTCATGCCCTGTCACTAGTGAACTCAGCCTTACAGAAAGCATAATAATTTTCCATAAACCATGTAGCTGCATTTGCATATTTTGAACTCTGCAGTGTTTCAATAAATTGCATCATACCAGTCTGGTTGTGGGATTCTTGCAAAAGGAGTCTATAAATGCACAAGGACTCTTGAGAAATCTCAATTCCATTCTCACTTAAAAACCCCAGAGAACGTGTAGGATATTAACCAATTTAGGAACCATGGATCACTTCTATGGGGCAAGAAGAGGCGAAGCATAAGAAACAGCATTTCCTGCTCTGTTCAGCTCTCTGGAAGCTTGTGGTATGTGTTGTTGAAATGATAGGCCTGGCTGGTCAGACAAAGCATTGGATGGTGGCTCTCGCTGATATCCTTCCTCCTCAAGCCTATAGATATTGGCTGTGTTGTACTTAGCTTCCATATATTCCCCTCTTGATATTGAAGGGGGTCAACAGGAACAGTATGGAAATGCTGAGACCATACCAATACTCCGGCATGCTCTATGTCTCCTGAGACATGGGCTTTCCATGAACTGCCATCCTTCAGTGGGATGGTTCCATGAGAACAGCTAGTAGAAATGCAGAGTTTCTTGGCTTTTTGGGGAGATCTTTTGAGTGGACTGGCTAATTTGGTCCCAAGACTTTTATCATAGGTAACAAAGAACTAAATCCCAAGCACAAACTGAATTCCTTTAAGTATAGAACCAGGTGCCAGCAGTGTCGTTTCTGAATATTTTCTTTTTCGTTGTGTTCACACAGCCAGACAGCGGGTTCTTCTGTGAAGGGAATTCCAGTGATGAGGATGTGGTCCTGAAGGAAGAGTTCAGGGGCATAGTGGTTAAACAGGGATGTTTACTAAAGCAGGTTGGTATTTCACTTGCACTGCTATTTTATTACAGGAATAACATTACTGAAATATGAGAATAAATGTTATCCTGGAGTTTCTTGAGAAGTCAGAATTAAACTGATCTCTGTTATACTCGACTGTACTATAGTAATGACTGGTGGTAGCCCTACTCAAGATAAAGGCCTCATGGTGCTTGGTACTGCACATACAGATAATGATGGATACTTCCTGCACCAAGTAGTTTTGAATTTAAATAGACAAGGCAAAATACAAGATAAAGAGCTGCATCTGGTCACTAGGACAACTGGAAATAGACCCCAGGTCTCAAGACTCCAGTACAGTGGCCTTATCCATTCAACTACATTGCCTCCTAAACTGGAATAAAGTCCCAGCTCTATCATGATTTTTTGTATGTTCCCAGACAAGCCACTTGCTCATTGTCATAACCACTCATCTATACATCAAGGACAAAAACCCCATGTTCTTTCCTTTCTAATTAGATTTAAGCAATACACTGAAACTCACTTGTAACAGGGTAGTCTGTCCTCTTAAGGGGTAGCTAGCCGTGTTAAGGACCTTCAGTGGTGGGGCATTCTGCTTTGAAAATCTCCCAGAAGAGAAAGCAAGAGAGAGGGAAGTAAGCTGTGAGGAGAAGCCAGAGCAGAAAGTGACTTCTCTCCTAATATCCAGAGAGGACAGAGGAGTTTGGTTTGGTTTGGTTTATTTTGTTCCTTTTGTAGAGACTGAAATTTGTGAAAACAGACTTGTCTGAGAAACTAATAACAGATAACTCCTGCAAAAGGCAGTAGGATGCACAACTTGCTTATGCTGCTGTAAAACCCTTTCTTTCTGAGAACCTTAGGAATGCGACAGCAGCTGGATATGAACAGAGAAGTCAGGCAAAATCAAAATTCTTCAATAACAATATGAAGCAGAAAAATGGAAAAGACATCAGATCTGATTAAAGGAGATGAAGTATTGATATTCTTCCTCCTCACTAACCAATTTAAACCAAAATTTTTGGGTCAGATAAAATTTAAGTCTTGGAGTAATATGGCAGACTCCATGCATGCATGAACACTCAGGAGCATCTCAAAGGAAGCCTCATGCTGTGATATAATGCAATTTTCAGTCCAAGGAGTGGAAGTTAGTAGAGTTGCTAGTGTAGAGTAAGTCACCTGTGCTTCTAGGAGTGACTTTGTAATAACAGAAAGCATTGGACCATTGTAACCAGATATGTAAAAGACCTGTCATATTATCTATCCCGGGGTGGCCAACCTGGACTATGGGTGCCACAAATAGGGAAACCTCTTTGTGTGGCATGCAGCAGATTGGTGGGGGGGAAGGGGGTAGAGGGCAGGCAGCACAGTGGTAGACAGGGTGGGGAGCATAAAATTGAGCGTTGGATCAGGCAGAGAGCACAGGGCAGGGAGCATAACAGTAGATTGGGCAAGGGAAAGGGTAGGTTGCCAACCCTCCCAGACTGGCCGGGAGTCTACTGGAATCAGCACTGATCTCCCGGTGACTACTGAAAGCGGTCCAAGAGTTTGACGTGAATGGGCTGAACAGTACAATTAGTGACACTGTTATGTTGGAAAAAAAAAATCTCCCGGAATAGCTTCAGTCAGAGTTGGCAGCCCTAGATTGGAATGGCATTGGGGGAGGGTACAGGGCTAATCTGTGGCACGTCTGACAAAAAGGTAGCCCCCACATTGATCTAGCCCATCCCACCATGGATGCAAGTGACATGAAGTGCTGATTTCCTGCTTCAAAAGTTATTCGTAGCAATACCTCACTTCCTTTGGAGACTGAGGCCCTGCTGTTGCAATGAACTCTGTTGACTTCACTGGGGCATGGAACTGCCCACATAGTTCTTTCCAGTGTGCAATGCATGCTATAGAAAACCAAGAGGTACACTGTTAGATATAGATGTTGGATGTTGTGGTGCCTCTTTTTTGTCTGTGAAAACGTTCTAGTTCGTTCTTCAGAGCAATAGAGAGAAAAACAGCTTTTTCTGAGCTGTCTGCTCCCTCGTTATTGATGTTTAGATCATAACTGAAACTTTTATTGACATGTGATTTATCCATTCATGTCTGTGAGTGTTCATTTCCACATACACACCACTGTTCACTCAGGTCTAGTGAGTCAGAACTTTCTTGAAATAAACAGTAGTTAATTAAGAAACCAAAATATTTGGAAATACCTAGAGGAAATGATGATGGCAGCCTTTGACCACTATTAGTCTGCTTTATCATCCACTGTAAAACATGGTGGACAGGGAAAAGCTATAATTGCTGAGGTGTTGCTACTTCTGTCTAGAAAGTCTGTTTGTTCAAGATTAAAGTTGTGGCTAGTAAAACCACCAATTAATTCTAAGTGGAAGCTAATACCTAACTATGGGACTGGGAATTCGTAGCAGTGAACGCTCTTCTGGACGTAGGAGCCTGAGCTAGGTTTTTCTTTTTTCATAGAGACAGTGTCTTACTCCATTATAGCCAATAGCCTTGGATCATAATACTTACTAATGGGATAAAAGACCTGTTTGCAAATCTCCGCTCTGCCTAATTTGGAGCAGAGAATTTTGTTAAGGTCTCACACCAAGTGTATGCCCTAACTGTTGTGCTGTAAGGTCCAAGGACTCTTAGGAGAGTCTCTCTCATGCTCTCCCATTGAACCTGTCCTTCTTTAAATATTCATTGGGTAAGAAAGAGAAAGATGATCAGGAATTTTCAAGGGAGGTAGAAGAATAAGTTTCAAGTCCCTGCTTTAATGAGTAGTTTAAAACCAAAATATTAGCTTTGCTTCTGTTTTCACATTTTCCATTGCGTGTATATATTTTCTTTTAAATGAAGAATATTAAGTTACCCTTAAAAACATTTCTTTAGGGGCATCGGAGGAAAAACTGGAAAGTGAGAAAGTTTGTTTTAAGAGAGGATCCTGCATACCTGCACTACTATGATCCAGCTGGGGTGAGACTGTCTTTCTATTTTTACTAGCATCCTTCAAGAGCATTCTGTAGAAATGCTCTCCAGTTAGAGATCAAGAACCTGGCCCAGTATGTCTGTTGCTATTCTGTAGAGTAGGGCTTTCAAAAAATATACCCTCTTTCACACCTTTTGTGGTTCTGTATTTGTCTGAGTATAGCTGATACACTGGTTGAAGAGATCAGACAATCCTGCCCATCCAGTTTGTACAAGTCTCTACAGTCTTCTATGAAGTTGAACTGAGGAGGCAAATTCCCAGTTAGCAGAGTCTGTATTCCAAAGGAGCTCCTTGGCTTACATACAGATTTCCCCATGTCCCACCATGTGTGGGTTGGGGATCCCCACTGCCATTTTTCATAGATTTGTGCCATACTTACTCATTAGACATTCCTGCTTCCACCCCAGAGCAATCGTCCCATATATCTGGCCAGTTTTAGAAACAAAAATGTTTGTTTTTTAAACTATAGTAATGATGGCTTCTTTTTTTCCCCCCCAAATCCCTGTCAGGGAGAAGATCCACTAGGAGCAATTCACTTGAGGGGTTGTGTGGTGAGTGCAGTTGAAGACATGCCAGATGGTAAGGAGTCCATGCAAACAGTGCAATGCTTTCAGCATACATGCATATACATCTGTCTGGATGGAGTCATACACTGTCCTGGTTCCAAAGCAAGCAAGTCTTACTGATGATAGTGCTTTACAGCTATCCGACTTCTTCCATAGTGAAGGAGACTCCACTAAAGATATACAGGGACATGTATGTCTTGTCATCTCCCAAGGGCAATTTCAGCCTTGACTGCTATGTGGGAGTAACCTGCAGGGCTTTGTAAATTGAGTTTACTCTGGTCCCTGACTATTGCAGTAGGAGGGGTTAGACTAGAGAGCAGTTGTTCTGCACATCATGTTCTCCACTGAAACCAGGGAAAATAGGTTGGGGGGAAATAGTCATGGGTAATCTTCCTAAGAACAACTTCATCCCTTATGCCAGGACTGTCCAACTGTTGACTCATAAGCCATAAGGGATCAATATATGGCCCCCAGGCTCCTGCTTGGCTGCTGCTCACCCTATCACTCTGGCTGCTGCAGTGTTTAGGCTTCCCCTCCCTCAGGTTTTGCTTCCTCTTCCTGCCTTAGCGGGTGAGACAGCATAGCCCATATAAGAGATCTGAGGTGTGCAGTGCAGTGAGAGATCTGAAGTGGTGGTTGCCTGTATACGTGGTGTAGCAGTATGTGTGTGTTGTGGGGGAGGAGGGGATGGAGGATAGGGGATGGAGGATGTGGGGCTGGGGGAGACTGCCTGCACACAAGTGCAGCAGAAAGAGGGGTGTGGCTGGGGACCCATGGCTCCCAAGAGAAATTGGACAGCCCTGATCTATACAATACATTCCTTTCGATTCCCATGCTCCCTCATAGCATGAAGTCCAAGGATGGCTTTTAGCTGCTTGGCTTCCAGGGGAGCCGTGCTGGCAGGAGGCTTGGAAACGTGAAGTCCTTATGGTCTGGGATGGATGGGGGGGGTTTGCAGGTAGCCTTGTCCTGCTGGATGGAACCGCCTGCATGTAGCTCTTTCTGAATTTGCAAAGACCCTGCCCTTGCCACAGATCTAGCTTAGGGTGGCTCACATTTGTTTGTGGACTTGAGTTTGTAAAGGCACAAGGCAATAATTGTGGTAGAAAGGAAGGAAATTCCCACAGGGTGTTTCAAGGCAGGAACTCTGACCAGAGACTTTCATAATTTGCTGCTCTCTTCCCTTTAGCCAAGAAGCATGAAGCTGACAGCAACCTTTTTGAAATCATCACAGCAAATGATGTGCACTATTTCTTGCAAGCAGCCACCTCTACAGAGCGCACAGAGTGGATCAAAGCAATTCAGTTGGTTGCTAGGACCGGGAAGTAAATATTTGCTACCTGCAAAATGCCTTCCACTCTCAACCTTCCAAGGGATTTTGAGATGTAAACCAGAGAAAGTGATTTAATCCGGACATCTTCCATGTTTCAGGGATGTATTTGGTAGCCGTGTTGGTCTGAGACAAAAAGAAATGCAAAAATCTAGAACTCTTGGTTCAGAAATGATACCTTTTATTAGACCAACTGAGAAACTGCAAAAAAAAAAATCTTTTTCTGCAGGCTTTCATGGGACCTGGAGGGATAGATTTCCAGCTTCAGCTTCCTTTGTGCAAAATTGAAGTTTATTTCCTATATATGGAAACTCTTTACCATCTTTAATTTTCCATGAACATGTTGAAGGGCCTGTGAGCCTGAAAGTTTGCAGAAAAAGATAATTTTGTTGCAGTTTCTCAGTTGGTCTAACAAAATGTATCATCTCTGAACCAAGAGTTCTAGATTTTTGCATTTCTTTTAATCCAGACAGGCTTCCTAAAGCCTGGAGTAAAACAGGCTGTTTAATCTCTATAGTGGATGTTAAAACTAATAAATTCTCAGCACTTGTATTCAGAAGATTTTACTAATTTATAGCATAGAATATACTTCACTAACTTGTGTTGCTTTTTTATTATTGGGCTATCCTGCGAACACCTAGCTCAGCCTTCTGTTTCCATTGAAGAGAATGAGTGTTATCATTAATGTAATTAAGGGCCAGGATCTTACCATTGATGTAAATAAAAATGACATTCTAATTAGAAATGACATTCTAATGTCATCTTGCCTTTGTAACTCCTCTGCATTTCAATGCCTTCAAATAAGTGGAAGAAAGAAGAATTTCACTTTCTTTGTTTACCAGCCAATGGTCTTTCCTGTCACATTTGCACACACAAGCAAATCTCTTACAGTCAGGGAGTAGAAAAGACCTACTTTAGCAAAGCTAACTTCCTCCTTTGCAACTGTATTACTTATGAATGGGAATGGACTCACAGCCAAAGAGCTGTCTGTCCAGAAATAGTGCAGCACAGGTAGCAGCAACAATGCAAGCTTTCCCATAGCCCTTCTGCTGCATCCCCACCTCCAGCCTGTGACAGAAGAACCATCCCTGAGATGAGTATACGTTATTCTCCATACTTCATTCTCTTTGCTTTTGTCAAATTTCCTCACAAGAAATGGGGTGGAGGTCACCATTTAATTTTACAGAGACCACCAAATTAGCTGGTAGAGATCCACTCGCTACTGACCCAGGCTGGATTTTAACCAAAAATCTCCTAGAGGGAGTTCTATAATCAATTAGTAGATCCTTGAGCCATTCAGTAGATGGCTTTTCTTTGTTGAATACAGGTGCAATGTTTAGCTCTTTGCTTTAGTTATGTTTTTTTTAAAAAGAAAGAGGGTACTTGCATCTCTACCTGGAATTAATATCAGGGTGGTACCATTTGTCTTGTCAGCAGCAGAATCTTTGTTGGACTGCATATGTCCATCAAAGGAGACAAGAATGATGGTATCTAGGCAAGTGTGAAAGCCTGTCCGAAATGTCAGATTCTGTGTAAAGCTCAGATCTGGTGCAGATCAGCAACACTCAGCAAGTTTGGTTTGGGTGAGCAACCAAACCCACAGGTATTTATTCAGGTCTCTTTGGGTTATCACTGATTATGAGTTTTGATAACTTATCAGGCACTTTGGATTTCAGGCTCTCTATATTTTACTACTTTTGCTTCTGAGCCCAGGTGAAACCAGGAACTGCTGAGGTGATCAGAAGTGGAGGTGTGGGGTTAACCAAACTGCGTAAGTGTATTCGTGTTCTGGGAAAGTGTATTGACTAGTGTTAGGCAATACACGTACTCTTTATACTTTGACAGCACCTTGTATTCAAGGATCAGACAACCCTTATTTTACTCAAATGAGATCTCCTTCACATTGGTCAGATTCTGCATCCCTGATGTGACTAATCACTTTAGCTAATAAGGCTTCTTCTATGAATGAAGTTTGTGGCTAGGTACAGACATTCAAAAAGCACGAAGCAGAATTGATTTAAGTTATGCAGTTTTCTGTAAGCTGCGTAGTTTAGATTGGTAACTGTCATGGGACAGGGTCCTTAAGGATGGCTGTGATCTCCTAAGGCCCCTTGACCATGCCAATTCGGCCCAATGGACACCCTCAGTTCTTTCCTGCCACGTCTTTGATGCAAATGTAAAAATAGGGAGGCTGCCTTTAAGTCCTCTTGGACATGGTTTGTTGGACTCTTTGATCCCATGGGGGTCCCAGACCCCTTGTGGGTCCCATTTTACAATGGGTGTTTCAGGGCACCCTAGCCTTATGGGCTACATGTGTGGCTCCAACTGCCTCTTTACCACGCCCCAAGCCTCGCAGTTGGTACTGGCATTGTCATGCCTAGGCCTCATTATAAGTGCTGTGTCCTCTCTGACACCGGGGTCTGTGCACCCCAGATGCTGTGCCATTCTCTGGTGCCAGGGTACCCCGCTGCCATGGGCCCCCAATGAGGCCTCCTCCTTCCCCAACTACCCTCACCCAAACCACCGGTCTTAGAAAATGGCAAACAAAACATAAGCCCCTGGGCTATAACATAACACAAGCTACATAAGATGTGCTCAGCTCCTCTACATTACCCAGAGCAGAACTTAGTCAGGTCTCTTCCCTTCACATGCTTCAGGAGGGCTCCTTCTCCCTTGGCCATCAGCAGAGAACTGCCTCCTAGTCCTTGTCCTGGGGTTTATATGGGCCCAGGACCCTGCCCCTTCCGGCCAGATGACCAGGTGCAGGTGCAGGCTAATTTCCTCATTAGCTAGCTGCCATGGCAACCTGCACCTGGGCTCCTGTCTGGCTCTTTGGGCTCTTCCCAGGCAGTTTCTGGTCTTTTAGGAGCAGGCACTTAAGTGCCCTGCGACAGTAACTAACAGAACACGTATTTTCTCTTTGGTGGGGGGTGAATCTAAGACTGATTTAAAAGTGGCAAAAGCTAGTCTATCAGCCAAACTTCTGTTCTGTTATGGGTATAGACCAGTTTTGTGTGTTGAACTTCTGTTCTGTTATGGGTACAGACCACGCACCTGCCTGGCTTTGAACGCCTGCACGCGTGCTGCCTTGGCCTAACTAACAGAACACGTATTTTCTCTTTGGTGGGGGGTGAATCTAAGACTGATTTAAAAGTGGCAAAAGCTAGTCTATCAGCCAAACTTCTGTTCTGTTATGGGTATAGACCAGTTTTGTGTGTTGAACTTCTGTTCTGTTATGGGTACAGACCACGCACCTGCCTGGCTTTGAACGCCTGCACGCGTGCTGCCTTGGCCCGTACTGTAGAGGGCGCATGCTCTTTGGCTTCATGGATTCCCCAAGGTAGGCTTTGGTTGTCTCTCTGGCCGCCCCTGAACTTTCCTGCCACGTCTTTGAATGTTACTTCAGTGGTGGGGGGGGTAGCCTTGAAGGTCCCCTCAGGGATGACCACTCCACTTGCGGGATGTTCGTGGGGCTCCACCTCTCCTACACCCCAACCATACGCCAAACTCTGGCAGGGTGCCAGGTCTTAACACAGCCACCTCTTCTCAGTGGATATTCCTTGTGCCTTATTGTGTCCCTCTTTCCTCCTTGGGGCAGGATCATTAGTTGTATCAGGCCTGATGTCTGTTAGTTGTTTCAGGCCCTTTGAACCTGTTGGATCTATTCCTGGGGTCAGCATGAGTTCCCCTGTCAAGCAGGGGGAAAGAAAACAAAATGAAGAAAAGAAGAAAAAAAGAGAACCCCAAAAGGGCCTTCCTGTCTAATGTCCTACCGGTTGGTTCTTCCCGCACTCCTGCCTGTGCTTGGCAGTACTCCCCTGATGCTGGTCCTGCGGAGTCTCTCTTGCCTTTCCGCTCCCAGCCCAGCTCCCTAACCCAGTACCTGGAAGCAGCCGGGTGGAAAAACTTCTGCTTCCCCGGAGTTGGTCTCAGCCTGTTCCTCCAGGTCACTGTCCTGATTGCACTGTTGTTCGGAACCTCTGCCACCAAACTTCCTTGGAGGTACAAGAGGGAAGTCACCCCCAGTGCTCCTCCCCTCCTGGGGCTCCACCCTGGTACCCTCGGTGCGAGGGAGCCCTGCTGCGCCAGCTGCCGCCCATCGTCCGGGTGTTCCCTGTTCGTGCCAGCTCTGTCCTTTGCAGGCATGGAGAGCCTCCACCTCCTCACTTGCTCTCCCTGCCTAACTGCCAGTGACTGCTTTTATCCTTGCCGGCTGGTGCGTCCCTGTGATGTCATTCACCGGCTTTAATTGCATAAAGGCATGGCTTGTGAACTGTGCAGACTTTTCTCTTCATCCCTCTGGCATCGTTCCTCCTACAGGTAAGTAGTTATCTTGTGCTTCCCTCTTTATTTCGATGTTTTTTTCCATGCTGTGCCCTGCAGGCACCCCTTCCCAATCCCTCTTCTCGGTCTCCCCGGGCAGACCAGTTTCCAATCACTTATCCATGGGTGGGCAAAATGCAGCCTGGGGGCCGGATGCGGCTCACCAGGCCATTCTATCCAGCCCGTGGGGCCCCTAAAAAATTTAGAAAATTAGAATTTCTTTGCCCCTGGCTGCCTGTCATGTGGCCCTTGATGGTTTGCCAAAATTCAGTAAGTGGCCCTCCACCCAAAATAATTGCCCACCCCTGACTCATATCAGTAAAAGTGTAATGTTTGTACCTGGCCATTAGGTTTAGGCTGCAGATTCTGTTCTTCTTGTGCAAAGACATATGGGCTTGGCCATTGGCGATGTGTAGGGGGTGCACGTGGGTGCACATGCAGACCCTGAGATTGGCAGTGCACTCCCTGTGATTGGCTGCCACTGCTGCTGCTGGCGGTGCCTGCAGGTGGTTGCTGCTCACTACCCCTCCCCCCACTGCCAACACTGCTGACGGTGTCTGTGGGCGGTCACCGATCGCTGCTGGCCACTACCAACACTGCTGTCGGCAACTGTGGATGGTCACCAACTGCTGGCCGGCTCAAACACTCCCCCCCTCCCCCCCCACCAACACTACTGTGGCCACCTGCGGGAGCTCCCCGCTCACCACCACCACACTCCAGCCACCACCGCCGTCGCCACCACTGCTGCCGTTGCTGCCTGCAGGCAGTCGCCATACCCTACCTCAGCCTCCGGAGGGCATGCGTTGTTGATGGGCTTGGCCCTCCACTTCTATTAATGACAACTCAAGAGAGTAGTATTGCCTGGGTAGTGCAGATTATGACATGCTGAGGTCCTAAACTATGTCTAGGTTAAGAGGCCCCATACAATAAAAATAATCCACAAAATCTATGAAAATGGGTTTTCATGAAATTTTAAGATTAATTATTGTTATTTCTGCACAAATTTATGAACTCAATATGAATAATAACTGTGGAGCCATATATATGTATATTTTTATCATATTAGAATGAAAATGTCCAGTTTTTTTTTCTTATTTAGAGGCCCCTCATATTGTGAGACCCTAAGCTGTAATTTAAGTAGTTTAAGCCTAAATCCGGCACTGTGCCTGGGTGTAAGTCCATCTCTGTTCAGAGGCACCACTCAGACAGCAAGAGAATAAGGAGCTAAAGGAAGAGACCTCAGTATCCCTTTCCATTTTCATATTACCTACAGCCTGCTTGATAGAACACCACATAAGTGTTCATCCTCCTTTCTGGCGAATACCAAAAACCCAAGACACTTCCAAGCTCAGCTACCTCCCTCTGTCACACAAAAGCATGCTGGTGACCTAGGGAAGTATTTGACATGGAAGATGCTGAA